AACTAAGAGAATATTATTGATTGGAATAATAATCCCTAGGCTGAGTTTATTCACACTCATTAAGTGTGTGTAGAATATGCAATATATATGTCAGAAATTTTTAATCAAACAGAAATTTTCCTTTACCTCGCTTGTTTTTGAAAGTTATAAGCAGAAACATCAAATAAGAAGAATCAATTTTCTAGAAAATGTTTTTAAGATAATTAAATCGTTAAATTATTTTTAGTTTTAGTTTTATTTTTCTAAAATCTCATTCAAATTGACTGTAAACCTGAAAAGTCGTAATAGTTACGTTGCGAAACGCGCAAGTTAATTTATATTCTCTCTTTGCTTAAAATACAATGAAAACTGTTATTACACTTCAAAAAGTAAAATAATAATAATAGTCCATGCAAGCATTAAAATATTAGATATTTTCAAAAATTATAGCAAGTCTCGTTAACGAGAAGTTAATGAGAATCTCGAAGGTTTGTTGAAATTAACCTGGCAATGTGATAATCAACATAGGCACGTAGAGATTTAAATAATTTCAAACTGAATTACGATTCAGGAGACTTTCTTAATACAATGGAGGCTCCAGAAATATTGTATTTGACGACAGAAAAAAAGATAGGGATATGAAAAGCTTACAATGTTTCAAGGTCTGTTCAGCTAATATCTTTTGACTGATTTTACGCATGTCATGTTTAAAAATGCTATCAGAAAAACAATGCGAAAAGCACTTTAACGATAATAGAAAAAATTCCTACCTACTGTGTCATATGGTCTCGATTGTGTTAAATGGACGACAAAGTCACTTCCAAAGCTCCTTGCAATCTAGAACCACATCATGAGACTTAAGACTAGGTATTTACAATGTCTCTCCACTAAGACGAGTTGTGACATAAGGTCAATTTTTAAGATGGTGACCCGAGCACGTACACCCGGGCTAGGAACAAATATTGCCCGCAGCCCCCGCAAATGTCGTTTGCGCTGGCCTGGGTTCGAGCACCGATAGCTCTCTCTGGTGCAATCAGTGGGCGCGAACTTGGGCAGCTGTTCCCCAAGGCTGGGCACCTCTCAGTATAATTTTCCTCAGTTACGACTCTGTCCTTTGACGGAGTCGCCCCTGAGTGCACTCTGCCCAAAGACAGAGACGCAACTGAGAGATGATAAATAAACGTGTTACAAACCACTTGAGAGTAGTTTACACACTTAAGACTAACAAACACCTCAGCGACCATATCTCTATCAATGAGCTACTCAACATTACCGAGATTAAGCCAATTACATCAGTTATCGAGTCAAGAGTACTTAAACTGTATGGTCATATCAAATGATCAACTCATAGCGTGAGCAGGCTATAAGGGAAGTTAGACGGTAAGAGAAGCAAAGGTCGGCAGCCAAAGGTCGACAGCCAAAACTTATGGACTCGATTTGACCTTTACACTTTGAACTCGTTGGTAATTGAGAAGAATATCTCATGTTGATGTGCAGTCTGCAACAGGCGGAGTAAGCGCCTGGTGATAATATAAGAATCAAGCTCGCACTTTGCTTTTATCAGTTCTGTTACAGTTTTTTGTGTATATCTATATGTAACTAGTGAGCCAACCCAAATGACTTGACTCACTTTATAGTCCACCAATAGAAGGTTAACCAATCAGAAGACGTAGAATATTCAATCCGTCGTGTATAAAGGCGGCCATTTTGTTTACTCTATCCGAATGTCCAGTCCAGCTTGTCAGGCGAAGAGAAACAGAAGGACGAACTATGCTCTGCCACCTTTTACCAAAATATCCACTGCTAACCTGAACTACGCTTCCCTACTGTCTTCGAAATATTCACTGCTAACCTCTGGATTCTATACTCAAAGACGGCCGTCATCATAAACAACAAGTTCAACCCAAGCAAAGCAATAAAGTGATTGCTAATTCTGAGAGAATGTGAGAAAGACAAAAACACTATTAAGAAAGAACAATAGAAGAAGAGGAATTAAGAAGACAGAAGATTACGATTGACATTGCATTTCATTTTTTAAAGATCAAAGTTGACTGAGAAGCAAGAAGCCGGAAGAGAGTATGTTAGCATAGAACTTACGGTTACATCTAGCCATTTCAAGTGTAAATTGATGAGACCTAGCTGCCAATCTAGTACGACGCTTAAATTCATAAATTCTACGTACCATAGAACAAAGTTCATCATAACAATTATCATGAAAGTATTTATAGATAACGCACAAAGAAAATACATCATGGCAGTTGGAAAATGGCTGAAGCCGAGATGCCAGGTCAGGATCAATGACATTGCAGATTCTATAGTACCTAAACATTAGTTGATCACAAGACAAAAAATCACAATTCTAATAATATCTATGATTCTTCTTTTTATGTGCCGTGTCCTTTTGAGACGTAGGTGATCATAGCTCACCACACTTTCCTATCTTTATAGCTTTACGTAATATTTGTCCGCTTACTATCATTCCCAGTCTGTTTGGGACCCATTTACACAAGTTGTTGCGTTCCATATGTCCTGTAAGTGTTAATTTCCCTTTCCTCTTTATACGCCGCGGAAATTCCGATTGTCTCTTTCTGATTCAAGCCAACAGTGTCTTTATCGCTTCTATATACCGTACAATTTCCTCGGCACTCACAGGCACCGTCCCAGGTATTCTCAGCATCCTTCTGTAGAACAACGTGTCTGTTGCCTAAATTCTTCTTTTCATCTTTGAGAAAACGGTCTCGCATTCGCTGCCATATAGAACGGGTGATATTACATAGCCTTACAACACCCTGGCTGGAAGCAAGATTTTTTTTTAATAATATATTTTCTTCGTCAAGGCTTTCTGTCTATATGCCGGTAGAGGCCAATTTCACAGCTTAAAATCATACAGAGAAAAATAACAGAACAGTGACGCATTCTCTAAACACGAGGACTTATATATAATAAATGCGAATGTCAGTGTGTCACTGTCTCACAATTTTTCAATTAAAGGGACACAACTCTCTATCTTTCAATAGCTTATGTTGCAGAAATATTCACAAGTTTTCATTACTGCGATTGTTTTCGATGATATTTTTTTACGTGATTTTTTTAACAAATTTTTTGTACCATAATTTTGAAATAAATTTGGGAATAATCGAAAATAATTACGAAAGTCAGCGAAAGTCAGCGAAAGTCAGCCCTGAAATAAAAAATGATTGTTTGTAAGAAAAGTAAGGATCTACGTACATTAAATTGTCTTTAAATTAGGTGATAGCAACAGAATTATTGTTGACCTTTTAAATGGTAAACTTAAATATTAATGCAGTAGTTAAATGCAGCGATCAATTTTGAGTTCTTCTGTAGTTTATTGTTGCCTATCGCAAACGACAGCAGTATGCCTCGCAAAAAGAAATATCTGCTAACGGAAGACCAGATTGCAATCAAAAGAGACAAGGCTGCAGCGAGGAAAAGAAAGTCCCATGCAAATGAAAACCCAGATCAAACGGCAGCTAAGAGAACTTCCAATGCTGAGAATATACAACAATTTTGGGACTCTCAAATTCGTGAACAAGACCAAAGACCAATTAAGATCACACCGCGGAAGCCAGGTTAAATGCCGCCTAATTGGACAGCTTTTAATATAGTTCTAAATATAACTTTCATGTCAATATAAAAAAAAAACTCATATAAAAAAAAAAACTTATAAAATGGAAATTTTTTCATTGAAATCATTTTTCTTATGAACTCTCTTCCGGAATCTTCCTTCCCAGTCAAATTTGATCTTCACAAATTGAAATTTGTCTTCTAAATTCCTGCCTTTTGTTCTTCTCTCTCTTCAATAGTGTTGTTTTTTTTTTTTTTTTTTTTTCACTCATATTCTCTAACATTCAGCAACTCTTTACAGCTTAGTAACTTTATTGTCAGACCGGGTTCTATAGCATTGGATGGCAACTGGTCTACCGCAGAAAGAAATGGCAACCTACTGCTGGAAAAAGAAAAATCTTCCTCGTCAGTCATGTATCGAAAGATACATGATCGCCTAAGCATGTCTCAAGCATGGCGCATAACTGACTGACTTTCCCGTCGAATCCATTACATTCACTTACATGCTAATACCCTTGACATAGGTATGAATCCTCTTCTTCTCCTCCCAGCTATGGGTAAATAGCAGGGCAGACTGGATTGTATAGCCTTGGATGGTAACTGGTCTACCGCAGAAAGAAATGGCAACCTACTGCGGAAACAGAAAAATCTGCCTCGTCAGTCATGTATGACGCACGGAACATAAGTGACTGACTGATTTTCCAGTCGAGTCTATTTCATTCACTTCTTGCTTGTCAAATTTGATCTTTGCAAGTTACACGAAAGGAAAAAGGATTCGACCATGGCCGGGATCATCGAGTCAGTTCGAAAGATCATTTCCTTAACTGTATAGAATGTGTTTCGCCAGGGATACATACACTTTCGAAATCAGGTTTTTTTTTTGGTGGGGGGGGTCTAATAGACCGGTGATGACCCAAGATTATCCACGGTGCGATGGGTAAATTGTCGACATTTCATTTTTTTTTTATTTTCGTGGATGTGCGTTGTTTGTTTTTTCGTCTGTCGACTGCACAGTGTAGTAGGGTCAGTTGGGCACTTGGAAACGGCTTCCTGTATTGCTTGGCATTCGCATCGGAAGATCCAGTACGAACATTTCAGTGTGTTTTTGATGTTCCCATTTGGATTAAATAGTAGGAGAATATCTGAAAGATTTTTACTCGCAAAAAATTGTTAATGAAGTTTTCACTCAAAAAAAAAAAAAAAAAAAAATTCTAATAATCCAAAATATGCTGCGGTTTAAAATAACATACAATGGGTTGATAAACCGTCAAAAACAAATCATAAAGTTGCAATATCCTCCTTATGAATATACGTGGATTGTCAGCGTAATAAAATTCAATGAGGAAGAATAAATGCATTTTGTGACGATATTCGCTTTTCGTACATTACTGGGTCTGTCTACCTCTGTCTGCCTGGCTCTCTCCATTTTACCTCTCTCAAAAAGTTGTTTGCAATGACAGGTCAGTAAGGAGACGAGAAAGAAAGAAAGAAAGAAAGAAAGAAAGAAAGAAAGAAAAAGGAGAGAAAGAATGAAAAAAATACAGAGAGATAAAAAGAGAGATAGAAAGGGAGAGAGAAAGAAAGAAAGTGAGACTGAAAGAGAGAAGGAGAAAGAGAGAGAAAGAAATAGAGAGAGAAGGAAATAACGAATGAAAGAAAGAGAGGGGGAGAGAGAGTGAAAAGAAAGAAAGAAAGAAAGAAAGAAAGAAAGAAAGAAGGGAGACAGAGAAAGAAAGAAACTATCAAAGAGAGAGGGAGACAGAGAAAGAAAGATTTAAAGAAAGAAGACAAAAGAAAGAAAGAAAGAAAGAAAGAAAGAAAGAAAGAAAGAAAGAAAGAAAGAAGACAGAGAAAGAAATTATCAAAGAGAGAGGGAGACAGAGAAAGAAAGATTTAAAGAAAGAAGACAAAAGTAAGAAAGAAAGAAAGAAAGAAAGAAAGAAAGAAAGAAAGAAAGAAAGAAAGAAAGAAAGAAAGAAAGAAAGAAACTATCAAAGAGAGAGGGAGACAGAGAAAGAAAGATTTAAAGAAAGAAAACAAAAGTAAGAGATAAAGAAAGAAAGAAAGAAAGAAAGAAAGAAAGAAAGAAAGAAAGAAAGAAAGAAAGAAAGAAAGAAAGAAAGAAAGAAAGGGAGACAGACAGGGAGACAGAGAAAGACACAAACAATCAAAGAAAGAAAGAAAGAAAGAAAGAAAGAAAGAAAGAAAGAAAGAAAAGGAGGGAGGGAGGGAGAGCGAGAAGGAGAGAAAGAAAGATTGAATGAGAGAGAGAGTGAAAAGAAAGAAATAACAGTGACAGAATGAAAGAAAGAAAGAAAGAAGAAGGGCGAGGGGTCTTTTACACACGTTTAAGTTGCGCTTCACAAAATCCAACTTGAAAAAAAAATTCATTTTATGTTCTTCCTGTTTCCCGACTTCGTCTCTAAATTTTGTTCCCTTCACCAATCTCTCTTTCTCTCTCTTTCTCTCTTTCTATTTCATTTTATCCATTATGATGTGTAAACCCAAAAGTTGTCTAAACGAACCGATTACACAATTGTTACAATAAAAAAAAACACACAAATGCACACACTTAAAAAGAAAAAGTGATCGTGAAAGTCTGAATGAATGAATACCTTTTGCTGTGGAACTTATCCCCACGTCATACACCCTCTCTATTTCTCTCTGTTATTACTCCTTTCACCTTTACCCACGCTCCCACTAAATAGATAGCGAAAAGGACAATCTCCATTTTTAAAAACTGAGTAGTTGAAAACAATTAGAGAAGATCAAATTCAATGAAATAAATCGTTGTTATATTTTTATCTTTTCTTTCTGTCAGTCTATTTTTTTATTCTTTCCCTTAAGCCATTTTTTTAGCTTTTTTTTTCAAATTTATGTTACGATTGAAAGAAATCACATCACTTCTTTTATTTTTGACCATTTTTCTCATGTGTCAGATTCGTCTTTTCTTTCACTTCCTCACAATTTTTTTTGTTTTTACCACAACGTACGTCCAACTTCTTTCATTATCTTCATTTTGTAATCTGTTTTTTTTTCTTTCTTTATGTTTTACTATCATTTTTTTTTTCTTTCTATCTTAATTTCGATTTTAATTTCACGTTTTCTTCGTTTCTATTTTTTCTTTCTTTACTTTCAAACTATTACTGAAAATATATGGCACGAGGCTAGATTCTTTGAGAACCAGAAGATTGGAAAATCCGAATAATTTTAAGTTCGCTTTCTTTCTTACGAAAAAGAAAACTTCTGGCAAAAGATTTTTAACGCTCACTCGACTTCGCACACTGTTCCATCTCTAGAAACAAAAATAAAATTTATGTAATATTTTCTGTTTATCAGTCGTAACAGTTACAAAAATGAAAGAATAAAATTTTGACAAGACATTGATAATAAAATTAGTATACAAAATATATTTGTTGTCTAACAATAAATAAATGGCGCTATTTTGGATCGCAAGCCACGTAGGACTTAGAAGAAATGGCCAAGGGGATTCAGTCGCAAAGGTTGCCCAAAACGAAACCTTGATAATAATTTCAAAATCACTTGTACGGAGCTAAGATCTTAAATAAACATCTACATATGGTCAGTTGCTCCCGCTGTACGTCTCGAGGTCCTTGACAAAATCCAGAGACGAATATGCAAGATGATAGGTCCTGATCTCGCATCTAGTCTACAATCGCTCTCCCACGGACGTGCTTTGGCCTCCCTCTGTCTCTTCTATAAATATTTTCACGGCAACGCTTCCGACAAGCTACTGTCACTGGTTCCTGGATTTCATGAATTTAAAACGAGCTACCAGGTTGGCATGTCGCCCCCCCCTTTCACTGTCAAAATGATTAAATGTAACCATCTCTTCTTCTCAAACAGCTTCTTCTCCCGCACTTCCCGTCTGTGAAACTCCCTTCCCCTTACTTGTTTCCCCGATGACTATAATCTTCAAATATTCAAATGTAATGTCAACCGACGGCTGACACCATGAGCTTGTTACCCGTCCTCTTCTGTGACCTTTCCTCAAACGCGCCTCTTTGCTAGTGTTCACAATCCTCTGTAACTCCTTGTGTGCTAGTGGCACTCCCGTACGGCTTGGGATGAAAAAAGAATTCAACTAAAATGGCAAAAAGCTTTGGACCAACAACGGATATTATAAACTTCTCACAGTCAAACCAATTCAAGGCGAATGGAAAGAAATGTCCAGAGAAAGACGATATGATGAAGTAACACCAGCTAAACTACACATAGGCCACACATACCTCACCCATCCATACTTGCTGAAGAATGAAGATCAGTCAACCTGTACAACATGCCAAGCATGCAAGCGGTGAAACATATTTTAACTGAATGGATTCACTCAGCCCCTATAAGACACAAATACTACAAGGAAAACATCATGTAAAAACTATTTGAAAATACTGAAAACTCCCTTAAAGAACTGACTCCATCTCTTCTAGTCCCCACTAGCTATGGAGTAAATAATAGGATTTGTATCTGGAAAACGCATTGTTAATGCGATATTCGTCGTAAACAAAATTATTTTTACAATGCCCAAAATATATTCCGGCTTTAACTAATCCACATAAGGATTGATAAGACGTAAAAAAAGAAAGCAATCAATCTTTATTTTCTTTATTCTTCTTCGATTGTCGCGGAATTCCTGTCCACCTTCAGAATAGAGGAAAATACTTGTTGACAACACTAATATGCTACACCATGAAAATAATAAAGAAAATCTTTAAATTCTCAAGACCTCATATATCAAAAGCAACCAACCAACACTGAATAAAATTTATTACGAGTATAATCAGTCAGTTATGTGCCATGCGTGATACACGCTTAAGCGATCATGTATCTTTCGATACATGACTGACGAGGCAGATTGGTTGGAACTTTCAGAGGGAAATTAAAAGGAGATAACTGATAACTGACATCCATTAAACATGACACGTGAAACTAGAAAAATCTACCCCAGTGAGCGAAATAAAGGGTTCAGTTCGACATTCCAACCACCTGAAGAAGGCCGTAGTGTACAACGGCCGAAACGTTGTAATAAATATGGCGACAAAGATGAGGAGAATAGTCAGAATAATGTAAATAATGAACAAAGTTAATTCTATATTATTTAAACAAGGTTCCTTATTTGACTACAGGATAACAATTAATACAATCAACAAAAAATGCAAATTCCTTACTACAAACAAGATGCAGTTAGAAATGGCAAATTATTTAATGAGGCACTTGTTTCTACTTATTATTTGATAAACTTCTTCACATAAGGTGAAATATTTGACAATGACAGGAACGAAACATCATCCAGGTGATCATCACCTAATCTTGTTCTTAAGCGACTTTTAGTAGATTTCATTTTTGAAAAAAAGTTGTTCCCAATTATATGTACTTCCAAATAATGACGCCATCATTTTCGTATTATTTTATAGGCTTTTTTTTTTATTTTCTGCTTTTTTTAAAAAGATTTTCCGTTGTGTGTGCGCGCGCGTGCGTGTGTGTGTGTGTGTGTGTGTGTGTGTGTGTGTGTGTGTGTGTGTGTGTGTGTGTGTGTGTGATATTAAATATAAATATCGAAAACGGCGGAAGGACAATAATTTATGTTTACCAAACTAAGATGCTCTGCTTGTATTTTGAGTTTTGAGTCATCGTATCTTACTCGGTAACGCCCTCTTTACTTCCTGCAATCCTAACAGGCCTAGGACTCTTATCTAGACCAGGGGGTCGGCAAACTTTTACAGAGAGCGGGCCAGACAGCTATGCAGTGTCTCGGAGGAGGGCCACGATATCAAATGTAAATTTTCAAGATCTCAGACCGCTCCATCCAGAAAGTTACCAGGGTCTGGAGAATTGAAGAAAAAACGACGAAGTTAACGTTGTATTATTTAAACAAGGTTCCTTATTTTACTGCAGGAATTACATGATAACAACTGACACAATCACTAAAAATTGCAAATTCCTTACTACAAACCAAATGCAGTTTGAAATGGTAAATTATTTAAGGAAACATTTGCTTCTGTTTATTGTTTGATAACTTCTCTACAATCGAGGGTGGGTATATTTGACGATGAACGAAACATCATCCGGGTGGTCATAACCTAATCTTGTTCTTAAGCGATTTTTAGTAGATTTCATTTTTGAAAAAAGTTGTTCCCAAGCATATATACTTCCAAATAATGACGCCATCACTTTCGCTTTATTCAATAGGCTTTTCTATTTTCCGCTTGGCAAAACATATTTCTTGTAAAAGTCAGCAGTGGATTCGGTATTAAATTTTGATTTACAAAATTCGTCGCATTGTAAGTTAATTAAATCCAACTGATATTTTCTGCTACTTGCTCCAAAAATTAATTAGATAATTAGTGTCTAAGGTTTTAAGTTGGCGGGACAGGCAGAAATCTTTCGCGGGCCAGATGTGGCCTCGGGCTGGGGATTGCTGACCCTTGCTCTAGTCGGCCGTTTGATACACGTTTTATATATATGGTTTACCGTAACATCAAACATGATGGAATATTAAGGTAATTTTAAATTTACATTGCACTATATGAACTATCAAATATTTACCTGTATTTTCTTGTTCAATATATATCCTGAATTAAGTTGTTCGCAATATAATACCCAATTCTACAATCAAATTTTATTCCTGAATTAATACATTAAAAAAGTGTTTAAATCAATCAAACTAGGAACCCTGGAGGAATCCAGAAGATCTATACAATTCTGGCATCAAATTAAAGTTTATTTATGCCTTTACGATAAAACTCTAAAAACTCTTAGAAATCTTTGAATTCAATTACTGCCTCTTTGCAATGGAATGTATTTTGGCTTAAATAATTGTTAAGGTGCTTGAATAAGCGGTAGTCAGTGGGCGAGAGAACAAGCGAATATGGTAGATGTGGCAAAATCTCTTCTGTCATCCTGGCAACGTGTGACCAATAATTGTTATGAAGCAGAACCAGTGCAGATCGCATTTTGCTTAACTGAACGCGCATTCCAACCAGCTGCTGGATGTAAAGGTCAGCAGTGATGCTCTGGTTAGAATCCAGGAATCTGTAATGGATAAACCTAACGAAGTTGCTCGGCCGGACCCTGTACACATTGACTCCATATTGTTGAAACTATATCTTAGTTTTATTTTACATTGCTGGTCGCAACAAAAATTCTCAAACGTTACCTAGACATATATTTTCATTGTCAGAAAAATTAAATTACACGATTTCATTACTTTGATGAGTTATGGATTTTTGCATGGCTAATTTCCATATGTTAATGTAAATTCTGAAAAAAATGTATGAAAAATTTAACTTTTTATGACATTTGAGATACATTTTACTAGTTGGAATTTTTAAGTTTTGTTGGTTTTTTTTTTTGGTTTTTTTTTTGGCTTGTAT